AATGTGTGTATAAGGAACAATAAAGTAAGTCCATTATATTCCTATCATTGCATGTTGATGACATATTGCTCATTAAGAATGATATTTTTTAATGTCATGAGTAAAAGTAAGATTTAGTTCTTTATGAAGGATTTTCTTTTGACATTCTATATCGTAGATCTTAAACTCTATATAGATAGAGAAATAGATATATAGAGTTGTCACAATCTACTTATATGGATAAGATCCATAAAAGATTCAACTTAATAAGATTCCAAGAAAGGAAAGGTTCCTATAAGACATAAACAATCTCTCTTTAAGGAAATGTGTCCCAAAAAGGTTATTGATCTTGTAAGTAGTTTTCAATCCAATCATAATAATAGAAAGTCTGTTTCGGGTTATATTTATATCATTAATAATAATAGCAGAATATGTAGTGCCATGTTAAATCATTAAAAGAAGGAATATGGATTAATGAGTTATTCCATAAGCTTAATATTATTTCTTGTAATAATTTTCTTTCTCATTATTATTTGATAGTAATGGAGCTGTTGCAAGAAGCTTAGAAAGAAAAATTATCTTATTAAAGGTTAATAAGAAGAAATATGTTATGGTTTAATAGATGGCTGAGCAGATAACATTTAATGTCCTTTTATAGACCATTGTCTTAAAATGTTTTTGACAGATGGGAGTAAGGATTATATCTGATTGGATGTTAGGGCAAGTGGGAGATTGCTGGAATAGTAATAATAATTTGCCCTTGAACATCCAATACAAATTATGTAATAATATTGTAATGTTAATAAATTTAATTGTTGCACATAATTTGGGTATTATTTATATAATTGTTATATATATCCTTAGAAGTTATTTTGTTAGATCATGCACTGTGATGGTCACTTGCTTGGAGATATGATCTAACTTAGAAATTTCTTAAATTTGTGCTTAACCTATAACTAGTAAAGGATAACTTTGTTATAACAGGTTATTATGCATGACACCGATATATGAGATATGGTGGTGGGTCTCAACCATCGAGAATGGAGATTCTCCGGGTGTATGTCATAAGCACGCATTATGATGTGTGTAGCACTAGACCGTATTTGAATTCTCTAGGATGAGTCACCTAAGAGATAGAGAGTTCAAATTGTTACATGGTCCCTTTGACTTGATGATATTATCATTTTCGATTTGATAATTTAGTATGCTTTGATGTGATGGTTAAGCTTGTTTAGCAAGCGCTACACAACCTGAAACATTGGGTTGCTAAATTTCATTTAGGAAAATGATGGATGTCTAGATAGGATCCAGTATGCTCATTATGATGAGTTAATTTATTATGCATTCCCATGAAGCTATTAAATTCCTGCCGGCAGGTGGTTTTGAAAATATTTTAAAAATTTACTTTCTTATAAAAAATAAAATATTTTGATGTTTCAAAATAATTTTTATTTATGTTCATGGGAATTGCAAATTTAGACATGAGCAAATAGGTGAGTTGTCCTACTTAAAAGAGTTGCCTAGAATAAATGATACTGGAAGGGATTGAATGTAAGATATTATTTATTAATAATTAATCCCATATTATGGAAGAGCTTTTATGAACAATTGGTCGGATAGGGATTTGATTGTTAAATTAAAATTATTAATTTGATTAATAATTGGTTCTTGATATGGGACCCAATTGGTCTCACTAATGTCATTAGAAGAGGTATATATGCAATACAATTCTATTTCTATCCTTAATTGTTATGGATAAAGTTTTTGAATAAATCTATTTCTATCCTTAATTGTTATGGATAAAGTTTTTGAACAAATCTATTCTATCCTTAATTGTTATGGTTAGAGTTCTAGATAATTATGAATTGTTTAAAGTTAAAATCTCTAAGACTAGTGTAATCCTATAAATAGGGTTCATATGTAGCCTTATGAGAGGTTAAGAGAAGAGATTCAAAATCTTATGAAGATAATATGAAGAAATAGATTTTTGAGAACCTATCTCTCAGTATTGCTCCTCTACGGTGACGGGTGGATTTCAATTGGAGGCTTTTTCTCTTGAGGAAGCTATTTCGGATTGATCTCGGGACAGATTATTGTAGAAATTCGGAAAGCGATTCAGGTATTCTTCTAATATTTAATTAATTTTGATTAATAGTCATGATATGCTTTTTCCGCTGCATTGTATGTCATGATTCCAACAATATCAACCAAACAAACAAAGGCGCAATCAAATGACCATCGACGTAAACCTCCGGCAACCCCTCGCCGGCCCTACCATTGACCCGACGCCGGCCACCGCTGTCGAATTCTTCATCCCGACCAGAACGCCATCACAATACACCTTCACCTTGTAATAACTCTCCGGGATCCAAGCGCCCTTGAAGCCCACAGTCAAGGAAACCCTAACTCCAAACCTCAAACCTCCGTCGCCCGATCTGATCGCGCCCTCGTCATCAACGTGGAGCCCGGCCGCCGACATCCTCGCTCTGAGACCCGTGACGTTCTTCGGCCCCTGAGAGAACGGGAACATCGGCGTTTTCGCAATCACGAAGTCGTCCGTGTCAAGGACGGTGCGGTCGGCGTCACCGGTGCTGTAGAGGACGGCGGCTTTGACGTTTTTGAAGACGATG